AGAAAACTCGTGGGGCGAGGGGATAGCAAGCAGGAGGTTTTCAGAGCCCGCTTCAGGCAAGGGGTTCGACCTTAACTACCTGTCGCTCGAAGATGGGCCACACTCAGGTCATAACTCTCAAGTGCTCTCCTGTTATTTATTTTTTCTTTCCTTTTTTTTTTTGGTAAGTGTTTTACGGCGCTCGCAACTGCATTAGGTCATATGAGCGCGTGGGACACATTAAACTTTTTCAGTTGGCAGGAAATTTTGAATTTTGACCCGTGTTCCGGCCGATTTTAGATCACCAAGGGATCTTTAACGTGTGCACGGTCCTGTCGGAGATGGACGTGAAACTCGGAGGTCCTGCCTCTTTAAAAAAAATTAACAATGATGTTGACAGGGGTGTAAAACCTATACCATTTTACTTACTCCTACTTACCGTTTCTTCAGTCCATATAATATCTTTGCGCAATATATAAAGGAGGGAGTGGAGAGAACTGGGACGCAGGTAAACTTGAACAAGGCCCAAAACATGTCATTTTGTGGACCAAAATTAACCGTACATAAATGAATGTACTACTTATTACTATGAATTTTGTTTGCTGTTACATTCCTTTAACTTTCTGTTTCTGTTTTGAAGTTCCAGAGACCACTTAGTTTTGCAAGATTTTTCAAGACCACTGTCTGTCTCTCTGCTTCGACTTCGAATGTGTTGAACTTCAGCTAAAGGTAAGTATCATTTAGTATAGTAATATATCAACTTTATTAGACAATCATATTGTGACAGGGTGATTACTAACTCTTAAATATGTATAAAGAATCAAACTTGGCGTGTCCCCATGGTCAGGAGATTACTGGGAGACAGTGTCCCACTTCACCCCCCGCATATGTCCCATTTCTCCTTTAAGATAACGTTCAATTCATCTCCAGTGCAAAGTTAATGCATCAAGGTGGAACAGGGTATCATAAGCGTATAATTTGTGGTTCCTGTTGGCAAGCACCGAATAAATTATGTAGTATTATTAGCCTGCTATGAGGTTTTAGATTTCTAATACCACTTTCTTTACACACACACACACACACACACACACACACACACACACACACACACACACACACACACACACACACACATACACACATACACACACATACACAAACAAACATGCACACACACACGTCCACACACACACATACACACACATACACACACACACACACACACACACGCACGTACACACTCACAGGTCAAGACGCCTCACACACGTATACACAAGCACATACAAACTCTATTTGATATACAGACGAATACGCACAAGCACACTCACAATCGCCCATCCAAACACCTACACTTTCACTTTTTACAAATGGCCTACATAAAAGTGTGTTGACATTGGTTGCTGACACACGATCTCGAAGCAGAATGCACGATGCAGATTTTCCTGGGCCATGCTGAGCTTGATGACTCTGTGTGTGTGTGTGTGTGTGTGTGTGTGTGTGTCTGTCTGTGTGTGTGTGTGTCTGTCTGTCTGTCTGTCTGTCTGTCTGTTTGTCTGTCATGAAGCTTGCTATGTCCTGGACAGTAGACATAGAGGAGGAAGATTGCCCAAGTATTAATCCCCCCCCCCCCCCTCCAGATCTTGACTTCCTTGTTGAAATGCTAGAAGAAAAAAAGACATGGTCAACACGTTTGGAATCAAGGATGGTATAGTCCCTGTACTATTTACAATGTATACACAACCACTTGCTGTTGAAATACAAAAGTATCAACTCAGCTACCATTTTTACGCTGATGATGTGGATAAATTCATCCATGCGACACCGATGAATTCATAGAAAGAGAAGAGAAATGCATTCGAAGATTGGAAAAAATGGCTGTGTAAAAATGAATTTATGCTAACGGAAATAAAAACGTTAACCATCCTATACGGTAGTTCAAAAAAGCTAGATGATGTTAATAGAGGCCAGTTAGAAACTGAAAACACAAGTATAGCCTTTTCCGCTAAGGCCAAGAACCTTGGTATCTATTTAAATTCAGGCATGTCTGTGGACAACCAAGTAAATCATGTCACTCGATGTATGTACCTTAATCTCACAGGAATCAGTAAGATAAGGGACATTATATCAAACGATATTGCATGCATGCTCTCTGTCTCTCTTGTCTTTTCAAAATTTGACTATTGCAATTCTGTTCTGTCTGGTATCTCATGTGAGAGAATGAGGAAATTGCATATGGCCCAAAATAACATCGCAAAACTAGTTCTGAAGAAAAAGAAAAAAGATCCCGCATCAAAAATGTTGAAAGCTCTGCTTTCGCTTCCATTTGATAAAAGAATCGAATATAAAGTTTCTGCCCTCTTTTAAAAATATCTTAACTATAATGCTAAATCCTAGTTGTCAGAGGGCCCATAGAAGAATGAAATTAAGATCTTTTGGTGAGAGACGTTTCTCACTTTTTGGTCCTAAAATATGGAACTCTTTGCCCCAGGACCTCAGAGGAATAACAAATCCTAATACGTTCAAGCGATTGCATTAAATTCATTTGTTTGATTTTTAATAGTTGTGTGTTATTAAGTATTGAGGCTCCCGCGGTCTTGAGGCATGGTGTTCGCCTCTCATTCAATAGGTCCCGGGTTCGAAACCTGACTGCGAGGGAGCATGTTCTTCTCTAAAATGCCCTCCTTTCATTTCCGTTCCTGCTCTCTAATCATGATCTGTCCTGTTTTTTTCTTCACCACTTTCTCCCCCTCCCCCCTCCCCACACCCCCACCCCATAAAAATATTTTAAAATCTCTCTCTAAATATATATCGCATTGATTAAAAAACATAAGGGACTTTAGTTGACATTTGAATACATTGAACGATTTGCTCTCTCTTAAACTACTGGACAAATCATTCCCCATCTTGGGGCCTTGATATTCATATGCCCTTTCACCCATTGTTTTAAGTTTCATAGATGGTAAAAGAAATGTCTTTTTGTCAGCCTATGACATTAAATGGAGTGTACAGATTCAACCTATTTGATTAATTTGATGGCGTATTATCATTCAAGCATTTGTGACATAGAGCGGCCAACTTGTATATAATTCTTTTCTCAACAGAAAGCCAGTGAAGTGTCTGTAAAAGAGGTGTAGCAGAGTCTCGCTTTCTTGTCTGTAAAACTAAACGTGCAGCATTGTCTTGGAGAGTATGAAGTCGTTTAACTTTCTCCATTGATATTCATGATAATAATGAGTTACAATAATCAGGTCTTGATAAAACTAAGCTATTTACGAATGTAAATATACATTATACTTAGTACTGATTAGATGACGTATGTTACAGAATTTTCTTATCTTTAAATACATGTAGCTGATCCGATGATTTACCTCAGCCGACATTGACAAACTTCAATCAAAATATAGGCTAAGATTCTTAACTTTTTTTTGAAAATGCTATTTCAGCATCACCAATTTTCATGTGATTGTGGTCAACCTCATTAAGACTTTGCACTGTTTGTCACATTGGTTTCTGTTTTATCATCATTCAACATCAATTTGTTTTTGTTCATCCTGGAAATACAATTTTTTGTCATGGTGGACAAGTTTATGTAAGTTGGTAAACGTTGTTGAGCCATAAATAAATGTGGGTATCAACAGCAAAGAAATGATACTTTTAGTCCTTCCTGGGGCAAGTGGTTGAGTATAAATGATGGACAAAACTGGGCCAAGGACTGAGCGGTGGGTGACCTATTCATAGGAGCATGACCTGATGACTT